TATGTCCCTATTTAGGTATTAATTTGTATATATTTTATGAATATCTGAACATACAAAACATCAAAAGAACAGGGTATCTGCTTGTAAACAAATACATTTTATTCTAGCTTCATGCATTTTTTAAACACTTGAATGTGGATAAGTTTCATAAATAAAAAATAAAGAACATTTTGAACAAAAAGCTGAAAAAAGACTATGAATTGGATTCAGAATGATAATCAACACGTAGATAAAGTCGATCAACACCCCAAAGCTTGACAGTTATCAATACCTCTTCATTGGTCGACATTTTATTCCATAATGTTACATAGTTTTGCTACTGTTTTATGTCTGATGATCGTGTTAGAATACACGTGGAAGCATCTGTTGTTTCGGTTTCTTCTTCACTTGTGTTTTTTGGAAATTCTGTACAGAAGATGTGTACTAGCGCCCCCTACAGTATAACAATGAAAACACGGATTCTAGGAGCACAATTATAGCTATAATATATTTAGACTTTTTCTCAGTTTAAGTCAAGTATACTTAAATATCATTTTAAGTATATTTCTGAGAACTACATAAAGCCCATTTCTGAGAAGTACATAAAAAGTAGACTAAAAGTACACTTTCCTATTTTTAGTTTAAAAGAAGTATACTAATAGCACACTTGAATAAACTTCTTTTTCGTAAGGGTTGCTATCATGCCTGCTGTTCATATTCATTGTAAAGTTTTCTTTTGCATTTTCAGAAGCTTCTCCATCAAACGTAGTCCTCAGAGCTTGTTTTCTTCTGTCTCAGCTCCTCTTTCTCTTTCAGGAAGTGCAATTTTTCCGCCTCAGTCGCTTACTTGATGTTAAACATCTTATTGGTGTGGTGTTGCCCACCATTCCCAGTGACTATTTTTTCAATCTGTATAAACAACTGAATGACCTGTTTAGGATTTTGTTCTTCCTTATTAAACACATGGAATCTTCCACTGCAAGTTTTGATGAAACTGAACAGTTTGGGGCTGTTACGCACAAATGTGTGAATGTTTTGTCCTCCAGATGATCTACATGAGTGAACAGTGCCATTGTGGATGTGGAGGATTCCTCACCAATTTTTTTTTTAATAATTCTAACTGCATGTTCATTGAGAAGTACATAAAAAGTAGACTAAAAGTACACTTTCCTATTTTTAGTTTAAAAGAAGTATACTAATAGCACACTTGAATAAACTTCTTTTTCGTAAGGGTTGCTATCATGCCTGCTGTTCATATTCATTGTAAAGTTTTCTTTTGCATTTTCAGAAGCTTCTCCATCAAGCGTAGTCCTCAGAGCTTGTTTTCTTCTGTCTCAGCTCCTCTTTCAGTGCCATTGTGGATGTGGAGGATTCCTCACCAATTTTTTTTAAATAATTCTAACTGCATGTTCATCTGTATATCTGCCCAATTGAATTACAACTAAGAAGACACGTGGACCAGGAGCAGAGAGAGGAACATAGCGTTTAATCCTGTCAATTACTTAATCTACAGTTAGGCTGGTATCAAACAGACCTGGAGAGTCAAGGACGAATACTTTTCTGCCTTTTATTTGTTTCATTATATTTTTCACATTATCCAGTCACAGAGGAGGAACTCTCTGATTTAAAATGTTTGTAACAAACATATTGATGATGAAACAGATGTTATACCCAAGTCCAGCTCTGCCTTGGGCAGACTCCGCTCATCAGTGTGGGAACAAAAGAGAGTCAAGGACGAATACTTTTCTGCCTTTTATTTGTTTCATTATATTTTTCACATTATCCAGTCAGAGAGGAGGAACTCTCTGATTTAAAATGTTTGTAACAAACATATTGATGATGAAACAGATGTTATACCCAAGTCCAGCTCTGCCTTGGGCAGACTCCGCTCATCAGTGTGGGAACAAAAGGGGATCAGCTTGACCACCAAGCTGAAAGTCTACAGAGCAGTTGTTCTGTCTGCCCTCCTTTACGCATCTGAAACTTGGACAGTCTAACATGCCAAGAAGCTGAATCACTTCAGAGAGCACTTGCAGAGAGCACCCCAGATCATTTGATGTGCCCATTCCATCAGAGACATTTCCAGGCTCGGATTGGCCACACCAGCCATCTGCAAACCCATGTTTCCCTTTCCTAGATGACATTGGATGAAGTTGGTCATCTTAATAAAAGGACGAACACATTTTGATGTTGTATAATGAGGCTCGGATGCATATTGTATGCATGGCAAGCTGTTGTCTCGTTTGCAAGTTTTGCAAGTTTTATTTGTGTAAATGTAACTTATTATAATTTGGATCCTTGCAGCTTACAATTACTACAAAAGGCTGGTTCCCCAGTACTTCACAAAACCATTGTAGAGGACAGCAGTCAAACAGGGTGGCAATTCCCTTTCACATTTGTGGAGAACAGAAAAGCTAATTGGCCTCCCCATTTTCAGGACCTTCTGTACAGACTTCAGGACATTCATCTTTAAGGCTCTTAGATCTGTGTGTTCCAGAAAAGAACCTTCTCAGTGCTCCAGGAGTTCAGCAATCCATAGTACTTCATGTTCAAGACTGTTTAAATAGAAATCAACTCCTTCATCCCACTGTAACATGGCCCAGCACAACCAGTGGATGACGGTGCCACCATCAGACCCATCATGTAACCAGACGGAGCGTAAATGTCACTTTACCAAACATCTTTCCAGAGACATTGGAATTAAATAGTAAGAAGAAAGAGTCTTCTAACATTCTCACACTCAGATTAAGTGACATGTGACCAAAACTTGCGATATTTATTTGATGTAACCTGTGAGAACTACTACATCAGTGGTACCTGCCAATTATTTCATCAGTGATGCCCAATTTCCATTATGCCCACCCATTATCCATACATTTACAGCACTCATTTCCGGAATTCAAATCTGCAAATAGCCTCCAAATAGCAAAGGATGCCTATTATTCCAAAATATAAATCTGATCAAACTATCTTATCAAACTAGTTTATCAAAATATTTCTA